AGAGAGAGAGAGAGAGAGAGAGAGAGAGAGAGAGAGAGAGAGAGAGAGAGAGAGAGCGAGCGAGAGAGCCCCCCCAACCACAGGTGGGGCAGCGCGGGGCAGGTGGTTCTAGCGAGAGGGGGTAATGAGACGTGAGGAGAAGAGGTGGCCTTGTATGGCCTTGTCGGGGCCTTGCTCATGCATACGTGATGGCCAGTGCGAAAAGCTAGGCGGGGAGGTGTTGGGGAAGGGGTGGCTGAGGGGAGGGGGTCCTTAGTGGGGGAGGGGACGATGTGGAGGGGAGGGGGCCCTGGCTGACGGGTGCTGGGAGGATGTAAAGGGAGGGGTCTTGGTTGATGGGGTTGAGAGTCGAAGGGGAAAGAAGGAAGGAGGTGAATAAAAATAAGTGTAAGGGAGAGAGAAGATTAAAGGATTAAAGGAGTGTGGAGTGAAAGAGAAAAGCAGGGAGAGCGGGAGGAAAAGAAAAGGGAGCAACAAAAAAGGAAAAAAAGAAATGGGGAGAAACAGAAGCGGGAAAGGAGGAAGAGAGATTCAGACAAACAAACAAACAGACAGACAGACACGGGAAAGGAGGAAAAAGAGTCAGACAAGAAACAAACAAACAAACAAACAGACAGACAAAGTAATGCGGTCAAGGTGCCTGCCGCGAAACGAACTCAAATCGTAGTTGCAGAGGAACTACGAGTACGGAAGGTGAATGGCAGGTGGAGCAGAGAACCTCAACGAGCTCGGATGTATTGCATTGGCGCTGTGACCTTGGAGAGGGGTCAAGGAGCAGTGACCTTGGAGAGGGGTCAAGGAGCAGTGACCTTGGAGAGGGGTCAAGGAACAGCCTCCCGACGGATCACCCTTGGAGGCATATACTCGAAGTCTCCGGTGAACGATCACGACGAGGAAGTAATGTGTCGTGGAAGGATAGGAAAGGCAAGGTGACATTCTCATTACTTTGCTCGCAGATAGAGAGGGAAGAGGAGAGAGGTGGAAGAAGAGGAAGAGAGGGAAATGAGTGTGGGCGGAGGGGTAGGGGTGGTGGGGGGAGAAAGAAAGGGCTGGAAGGAAAGGAGAGGAGAAAGAGGGACAGACAGGCAGTCAGAGAATAAAAGAATAAGGCAGAGATAGGAAATCAGATGAGAAAATGTGAATACGAAGCTTGAAATAGAGGAGAGGAGTGCCAGACAGAGACAGAGAGACAGACGAGAGACAGACAGACAGAGAGACCAGAGAGACGAGAGAGAGAGAGAGAGAGAGAGAGAGAGAGAGAAACACAAAAATGCGAAGAAGCGGACATCTAATCTGTCACTATCTCCAGGCGAAGGTATTCTCTCTCTCTTTTATTTCCTAGAAGAGTATCGGAGCGGACAAAAATAGACCTCCATTGAAGTGTTATTTTTAGCCGCGAGGGAGATATACTTGGTCCCGAATCCAATCTAAGCGGTACACTTTGTCGCCGCGTCGATCTGCCTCGGGACATGCCTCGCTTTATGGCCGAAAGACACGACACTTTGACCCCTTCTCCCCTCTCCATCCTCTTTTTTTTTTTTTTTTTTTTTTTTTATTCGTATTCGTTTCTTCCCGTTCGCGCTTCTCTTAACCCTTATTCTTGTATTTCTTTTTTCTTTCCTCTTATTTTTTTCGTATCCCTTTTCCTTTTCTTTCTCCCTCCCCCTTTCCCTTCTCCTCGATCTGCCTTCCTCTTTCTCTTTACCCTTACCCGCCACACCATCATTTCCCATTCCTTTTCATCTCTCTCCCCACCTCCGCCCTTTCCTCCCTCTTATTCCTATTCTTTCCGTCTTTCCGCCCCATCTCCCCCTACCATTCATAATACACCTCTCCCCAACCTACGCCTCCCTTTCCCTCCCTCCTCCTCTCTTCCTCCTCCTCTCCTCCCCATCCCCTTTCCTCCCCTCCCCATCCATCCCCTTTCCCTCCTTCCCCCACTCCCCCCCTCCTCCCTTCCTCCCCCCATCCCCCTCTCCCTCCCCCCTATCCCCTCCTCCATCCCTCCTCCCCAATCCCCCTTTCCCTCCATCCTCTCCTCCCTCCTCTCCCCCCATCCCACCCACTCCTCCCCCCCATCCCCTCTCCCTCCCCCCCTCCCCTTTCCATCACGGCGCCCGGCAGGTGAGATGTTCGCTTCCCCAATTAAACTCCGTCGACCTTCGTGATTGCGGGGGGAGGGAGGGAGGGAGGGAGTAGGGGAGGGGGGGGAGGGGGGGAAGGTCTAGTGGCTGGACGTTGGTTAGGCGGTTGTTTTTTTTGTTGTTGTTTTTTTCTGTTTTTTAGTTTGTTTTGGTAGCGCGCGTGGGTATTTTTTTTTTTGTGTGTGTTTTAACGTTTTGTTTATTTTCGTGATTCTGGATCTCCCTTCCCCTTGCCCTTCTTTTCTCGTTATTATTATTTTTGTTATTATTATTATTATTATTATTATTATTATTATTATTATTATTATTATTATTGTTATTTTTGTTTTTATTAGTAATTATCCATTCCTCGTTAATTCTTCCCTCCTTTATTACCTATTATCACGGAAAGTACATGTTAAGAGGAACGGAACGCACACGTCGGGAGGAACGGAACACAACTGGGGAGGAATGGAACGCACAAGTGTGAAGCCGGAACGCTCAGGTGAGAAGGGACGCACAGGTGAAAAGGAACGAAACGCACAGGTGGATAGGAATGGAACACAGTGGTTGGGAGGAACGTAACGCACAGGTAAGGAGGAATGGAACACAGGTGGGGAGGAATGGAACGCGCAAGTGGGAAGCTGGGACGTTTAGGTGAGAAGAAACGCACAGGTGGAAAGGAACGGAACGCGAAGGTGGGGAGGAACGAAACGCACGACGGAACAGGTCGGGAGGAACGGAGCGCACAAGTGTTCGAACGGAACGCACACGCACATGTTGGGAGGGACGGAACACAGGTGGGGAGGAATGGAACGCTTAGATGAGAAGGGACGCACAGGTAGAAAGGAACGGAACGCAAGGTGAACGAAAAGGAAACGGACACAGGTGGGGAGGAATGGAGATGGGGAGGAACGGAACGTATAGGTGGATAGGAGCGGGACACAGGTGGGGATGAACGAAACGAACAGGTGGAAAGGAACGGAACGCACAGGTGGGGATTAACGGAAGGCACAGGTAGGGAGGAATGGAATGCTCAGAGGAACGGAACGCATAGGTGGGGAGGAACGCAACGAACAGATGAAAAGGAACGGAACGCACAGGTGACAACAGAACCTCAGGTGGGCGGGACAGGTAGTTAAGCCCGGTGAGTTATGAGAGTCATCCTACACCGCGATCACCTCTTGTCAGTGTTGTAATAAGGATAATGACAAGGATAATGACGCTCTTTCCGGCGAAGGCACGTGACCTTGCCTCTATATATACACTTCGTATTATGATAAGTTCGGTTTTCGTTCTATTTTTTTGGCGCCTTGGTTTCGTGGTCTGATTTCGGATCTGGTTTTGGTCTGGCGTTCGTTGCGGAATAATTTTCGGGTGTCGGGTTTGTTTTTTTGCGTTCGTAGTTGCTGGATTCGGGCATTTCGGGTTTTGCTTTGTTTTTTGTCTTTTGTTTTGTTTTACTTATTTATCCCGTTTTTTTTATTTGTTTATGTGTTGGCTTCTCCTCCTCCTCCCCCCCCCTTCTCCTTCTTCTCCTTCCTTCTTCCTTCTTCTTCTTCTTCCTTTCTTCTTCTTCTTCTTCTTCTTCTTCTTCTTCTCCTTCTTCTCCTTCCTCCTCCTCCTCCTCCTCTCCTCCTCCTCCTCCTCCTCCTCTCCTCCTCCTCCTCCTCCTCCTCCTCCTCTCCTCCTCCTCCTCCTCCTCCTCCTCCTCTCCTCCTCCTCTTCTCTCCTTTTTTACTGCGTTCGTAACTGTGTATATGTATAATAGGAAGGCAATTAGTCACGAGGTCTTTTTCTCGGAATCAGAGTGGTGAATAGCCAGCACTGTTCGTGTATTGACTTTGTTGTCTGTTTGGTATTGCATGATGCTACTGTTATTGCTATTGTTGTTGTTACTATTAAGTATTATTATTATTATTATTATTATTATTATTTTTATTACTGCTGTTGTTTGTTGTTGTTGTTGTTGTTGTTGTTGTTATTGGTTGTTATTATTATTGTTATTATGATTATTGCTGTCATTATTAATACTTTCATCATCATCAGTTGTGCTCTTATTCCATGGCCGATATTAGGTGCTCTTAATATTCATGAATCAGGTATTCTGCGTCATGTTTCGGTATAGACATATCATCACCATCATCATCACCGAAGCCATCATCATCATTATTTTCATCATTATCGCCAAAGTCATCATCAACAACTTCACTATATCGCTACCGCCAGACATCAATATTAATACGAATGTCGTCATCACCACTAGCGTCATCATAATTTTCATCAACATCATCGTCACCGACATTACCATCATCACCACCTACATCATCACCACATCATCATCACCACCACACCACCACCACCACCACCACCAACACCTACCACCATCATCACACCACCCCCAACACCACACCACCACCATCACCCAACCACCTGCCTCACCACCACCACCATCATCACCACCAACATCACCACCTACACACCACCACCACCACCCACCACCATCACCTAACTCACCTGCACCATCACCACCACCACCACCATCATCATCACCACCACCACATCACCACCACACCCACCATCATACCCCCCCCCCCCACACCAACCCCACCATCACCCCATCGCCACCACCACCTACACTACCGACACCACCACCATCACCACCACCTTCACTTTCACCTTCACTTCACCTTCACCTTCACCTTCACCTTCACACCACCACCCTACCACCACACCACCACCACCACCACCACCACCCACCACACCACCACACCACCACCACCACCCCCCCACCCCCAACACACCATCACCCAACCCACCGCCTCACCACCGTTTTCTCACCCCTCCCTCCCTCTCTCTCTCTCCCTCCCCCTGCAG